TTACAGCGTCCAGCAACTACACGGATGAAGGGCGGGTCCGTTTCGAAATGGGGCTCCCGCGTAACACTACCTCTAATTGCATCACCCACAGATCTAAATTGTGTAACCGTTACACGGAAAGAGGGTGGCTCCTCTTCAAAATGGGGCACTCGCCTGAGACGTCCTCACATCGTCTGACCAGAGCTTGAAAACGTGCAACGCTTGCACGGGTCGACGGCACATCGACTTCAAAATGGGACTTAGCGCCATGAGCAGAACTCCCTGTACGCATCACAGCTAGAACCAGTGCGGGCGGATCCTTCACGCGACGGGGCCTCGCCAGAGCAGCAGATCCAGAGAGCGCTCGCCTTACAGGGTGGAGAGCCTCCCGCGGCGGAAAGGGACACCTCGCCATCGCTCGGACGTCCATTCCCCGTGCATGTTTCGGTTTCGTGCGCGTATCTTTCGCAAGATGGCTTCAAAGACTCCTCGATGGTCCTTTCCGAAAAAAATGCACACGTCCGAGCGATGCCGTGACACTGGATGGGACTATGGGGATGGGACTGAGGACGCGAGGGTGCACTGCAGCATCGTGAAGGCACCATGGGTTTACCCTGGTCCCTTCCGCCTCCCCTCCTCTCGGAGGACCTCGACGACGACGACGCCGACGCCGACGCCGACGCCGACGCCAACTTCGACGCCGACGACGACGACGACGACGACCTCTACGACGACGACGACAACGCCGACGACGACGACGACGCCGACGCCGACGACGACGACGACGACAACGACCTCGACGACGACGACGACGACGACCTCGACGACGACGACGACCTCTACGACGACGACGACGACAACGCCGACGACGACGACGCCGACGCCGGCCGACGCCGACGACGACGACGACGACGACAACGACCTCGACGACGACGACGACGACGACCTCGACGACGACGCGACGACGACGACGAGACGACGAGACGACGACGACGACGACGACGACGACGACGACGACGACGGCGGCGGCGGCGGCGGCGGCGGCGGCGGCGGCGGCGGCGGCGGCGGCGGCGGCGGCGGCTCCGGCGGCGGCGGCGGCAGGCGCGGCGGCGGCGGCGCAGGCGCGGCTGCGACGGCGACATCGACGACGGCGGATCCACCTCGTGGCTGGCGTACTGATAGTTCAGGGGCGCACCGCCAGACCTCCGCCAGCGGCACTGCCGCCGCGTCCCGGCGCCGCCGCCGCCGCCCAGAGCCCCAGCGGGCGGGAGAGGCAGGGGGGGCAGCAGAGGCGGGAGGGGAGGAGAAGAAGGCGAGAGGCCATGCTCGACGCCGCCTCCCCCAGGGAGGAGGGGGAGAACGAGGCTCGAACCCGGGGAGGGGGGCCTGCAGCGCCGGGGCGACAGCTGCGGCATGCTGCTCGCCCGCCGCCCTCGGCTGCTGAAAACTACGCGCTGGCACCCGTCGCTGACGTGGGGTGATGCATGGTGCGGGCCCACTTGCCCAGCCCAGGGTATGCACCCCACGTGTGGGCGCCGCCTCTCCTGGGAAGGAGTTTCGCGTTGTTGCCGCTGGGTCGTAAAACGCTGCCAGTCCCAAAAGCCAGAGCAGCAACGGTGCCGACGTGACCAGACCAGCCAAGACTGGGAGCGTTGTGTTCCTTAGCCCCCTGATGGAACCGATCGCATCAGCGACCTCCCGAGTGGGGGGGTGTCTAGTGGTCCCCCATGAGGGGTAGAAGTAACACAGGTTCCCTGGTTGAGCCCGGAGCGAGGAGCGAAGAGAAAGGCGGGAGGAGGTAGGAAGAGGAGGAGGAGGAGGAGGAGGAGGATCGAAGAGGAGGAGAAGGATCGAAGAGGGAGAATGAGGAGGGGAGGAGGAGGAGGAGGACGACGACGACGACGACGTCGACGACGACCACGACAGCGCCGACCACCACCACCACGCCCGCTGGGTCGCCCTGGCGGGTGGAGCCGCTTGCGCTCCTCGGCCACCAGGTTGGCCAGCAGGGCCGCCACCTGCTCGCCGAAGGAGACCTGTTGAGGGCGGGGAGGCGAGGCGCACGAGTGGGAGAGGCACAGAAGGGGGAGGAGGAGGAGGAGGAGGAGGAGGAGGAGGAGGAGGAGGAGGAGGAGGAGGAGGAGGAGGAGGAGGAGGAGGAGGAGGAGGAGGAGGAGGAGAAGGAGGAGGAGGAGGAGGGAGGAGGAGGAGGGAGGAGGAGGAGGACCAGTGTAAACCCAAGAGTCATCGACAACGTTGGAATGAAACCTCCCTCCAAGCTCCCTCGTCGTAGGCCCCTACTACGGTTCATTTCCACTGAGGAAACTGCCTCGTTGAAGACAACCGTTTGAAGATCCTGAAGTGTGCCAAAACATTGCTCTCGGGATTTCAACGCCAAGTATCAACCTGACTACTGCATCTTGACGATCCGTAGTCGCGCGAGAACGCCATTCGTGGGACTTCAACACCGTGAATCAACATAAGTGTCGCGCCCGCATAATCCTGAATCCTTCCAAAACACTAATTATGGTACGTTGGTCATGGGAATCCGTGGAACTCTTGGAAATGATTAAAACGAATGTGCGCGGCGCTAAGGCGAGAGCCACATTCTGAAAACGGCCCGCCCTCAATCCGTGAAACTCTTACAATTTGTTTTAACGAATGCGCACGGCGCTAAGGCGAGAGCCACATTTCGAAAACAACCCGCCCATAATCCGTGAAACTCTTGCAAATGTGTAAAGCGAATGTGCGCGGCGCTGAGGCGAGAGGCACATGTTGAAGAGGAGCCACCCTCCATTCGTGAAGCTCTTGCACATTTGTAAAAACGAATGTGCGCGGCGAAAAGGCAAGAGCCACATGTTGAAAACTACCCGCCCTCAATCCGTGAAACTCTTACATGCTTCACCCCCGAAAGACGAGAGAACAACAAAAAAAAGAAAGTGCGCGCGGCGCTAAGGCGAGAGCCACATTTCGAAAACGACCCGCCCTCAATCCGTGAAACTCTTGTAATGTTTAAAAACGAATGTGCGCGGCTCTAAGGCGAGAGCCACATTTTGAAAGCGACCCGCCCTGAAACTTGTCCCACTTTTTAAGCTTCAGAGTCATAAATGGTGAGGGAGCCTCAGGCGGAACGCCGGGCCCGCCCTAAAAACTGGCCTCGGGGTGCGACAGGGAGAACTTATCCATAGAAGGAACGGAGGAGGAAGAGAAGGAGGAGGAGGACGAGGAGGAGGAGGAAAAGGAGGAGGAGGACGACGAGGAGGAGGAGGAGGAGGCGGAGAGGAGGGAAAGGGGGCGGAGCAGGTGAAGGAGGTGAGGAAGGAGCGGAAAGGGGGGGGGAGGCGCCAAGAAGGGAAAGGCAGGGGTAGAGAGTGAGAAGCAGGAGGGGACACAGGATGAGGAGGACGAGGAGAGGGATCTGGCGGAAGAAGGGGGAGGACCTGGGTAAACCCAAGGTGCATCCACGATGCTGCAGTGCACCCGCCCGTCCAAGGTCTCCTCCTCACAGGTCCCTACACATGTTCACTGCGGGAGAAGCTCCCCTTGACGAGCGGCCAGGTGGGCCTGCCACTGAGGCGAGACCCTGCCTTGACATGGACAAAGTGTCCGACGATCGCCGTCTTGGAAAAGAGATGCCCCCCATCCGTGCAGTTGCTGTTGTTCAAGTTCGAAGCTCTGGTCGCACAACATGCGGGACCTCAAAAGAGAGGCCCCGTTTGAAAAGGAGCCGCCCTCCATCCGTGCAACTGCGGCACAGCTTGGAGCTTCGGGTCATAGGGTTTCAGCAAGTCTCAGACAGGAGCAGCACTCTGCAACGTTTGGATTCTTGCTGGACGAATGTGCGCGGTGGGAGACATCAACATCTAAAAAACACTGGCCATGCATCCATATAGCTGCTGGAATCCTGTTAGCTTAGGAAAGCAACGTTTCAGACAATATCAAACGAAATGCCCAGCCCTGTCTACGGACACGTATGGTGGTGCGACAGACGGGAACCTACCTACAAGGAAAAGAGGTGGAGTGGAAAAGGGACGAAGAAGGAGGGCGGGGGACGAGAACGATAATAATAAAAGGAGGAGGAGAAGGAGAAGAAGGAGAGGGAGAGAGAGGGAGAGGAGGGAGGAGGGAGGAGAGGGAGGACGAAGAGGGGGAGGAGGAGGAGGAGGACGAGGAGGAGGAGGAGGAAGAGGAGGAGGAGGAGGCAAAGGAGGAGGAGGAGGAGGGAGAGGAGGAGGGAGGAGGCGGGAGGAGGGGGAGGAGGAGTGATGAAAGGAAGCAGGAACAGTCACGTGCTTGTTGGCCTTCGGGGGCATTTGCTGGGGACGGGGGGGGGCACTCGTCGCCTGGATCCGCCTCGGGATGGGAGGAGGAAGAAGGAGGGAGGAGCGAGGGAGGGGCGAGTAGAATACAATCGGATCCAGACCAGAAGAAGATCCCTCAAGAACACGAGATCATCCGTGAAGCAAAACAACCAGAATATCCAAAGGCACCCTCCCCAGGGTGAACAAGAACACCCAACAAACACGAGGAGCATTAGGGTATCCTCCCCGACCCGACCTCGATCTTATACCTCGGTCCGACTTTGAGGAGGAGGAGCAGGAGGAGGAGTTGGAGGAGGAGGGGGGGCAGAAAAGGAAACCAGCGGGGCATGTGTCTGGAGATCTCTGAGGTCCTCACCTGTTTTTGGAGCGTGCACGGAGCTGTCTATGTGTTGGAGGTGCTCTATGTATGCTGTACTTTTTTGCTTGGGGAATCTGGGAAAACGAAAGCGGAGGATGGAGGATTGTGTTTTCTTCTTCCTCCTCCTCCTCCTCCTCCTCCTCCTCTCCTCCTCCTCCTCCTTCCTCCTCCTCCTCCTCCCCTCCCCCCCCTCCCCCTCCCCCTCCTCTTCCTCCTCCTCGTTCTCTGATTCCTCCTCCTCCTCCTCATCCTCGTCCTCCTCCACTTCGTCATCCTCCGTCTATAATGCCATCCTCATCATCATCATCATCATCATCATCATCATCATCATCATCATCATCATCATCATCATCATCATCATCATCATCATCATCATCATCATCATCATCATCATCATCATCATCATCATCCGTATCGTGATCCTCATCCTCATCATCATCCGTATCCTCATCCTCATCCTCTGGCTCTTCCTCCTCCTCCTCATCATCCTCCTCCTCCTCGTCCTCCTCCTCGTCCTCCTCCTCCTCCTCTTCCCCATCCTCTGCCTCGTTCTGTTTCTCCTCCGCCTCATCCTCCTCCTCCTCCTCCTCAGCACCAGCATCAGCATCCTCATCATCCACACTCCTCCTCGCTCATCCTCGCGCCTCATCCTCCATCCTTCCCACGGAAAAAAATAGATCATCCCTGCCGCACCCCCAGAAGTATGGGTAGCGTGTGCCAGGCGTTAGCCTGAGACTTCCTCACCAGTTGTGATCCTAAAGCTTGACAGGTACATCAGCTGCAAAGATGGAGGGGGGCTCGTTTTCAAAATGCGGTTCGCGCATTGGCGCCGTGCACATTCGTAACGGCTTGCAACAATTTCACTGGTGGAGGGAAGGTGGATTTCAAAATGCGATTCTAGCCTCAGAGCCGCACTCGTCTTAAAGGTTTGCAGCAGCTTCGGGGGCGGAGGGTGGGTCGTCCTCGATGTGAACATTTCGCTTTCGCACAGCGTGCGTTGTCTCCAAAGTCTGCAACAAATTCAAATATTGAGGGCGGTTCCGTGTTGAAGGGGGGTTCTCGCCTGAGAGCTGCACGCATTCGCCTTTGCAGTTCGCGATAGTTTCGGGGGGAAGGGTGGGTCGCGTTCAATATGGGGCTCTCGCATTAGCGCCGCGTACATGAGCCTTGGCAAATGCAACAGAATTCAAGATTGAGGGCGATTCCTGTTCAAAGTGGGGCGTTCGCCTGAACGCTGCGCACATGCGCTCTCAAGTTACAAACAGTCACAAGGGTGACAGGAGGGCCATTTTCAAAATGGGTCTCTCGCATGAGGGCCGCGCACGTTGTTTGCGTTCAATTGTGTAGTTCGACGCTGCTTTGCCCAGGAAAACTGCATCATTACTGCCCTGCGAATGAACCATCATGCCCTGAGGCACGAGTTGGAGTGTCCTCAGATCCCTTCGAATTATCTGAGACCGAGGGCCCTAACTTTCAATTCTTCTGAAGGCCCCCAAGACGGCCCAAGACGGCCTCGAGTCACCCAAGAAGCGCTCCAAAACGCCCAAGATGGCCCCAAGACGGCCAGGATGACCCAAGATGGCCTCCAACATGGTCCCAAGAAGCCTCAAAGATGGCCAAAAAAGCCCTAGGCCCCAAGATGGCCGAAAGATGCACCCAAAACGGCCCAAGATGCATCAAAGACGGCCCTATATAGCCTCAAGATGGTCCAAGACAGCTTCAAGATCAGCCTAGAGGCCTCCAAGACGGCCCAAGAGGCCTCCAAGAGGAGCCTTTTGAAAGAGTGTGGCGCTTGCCAAATTTAAAGCTGTCCGACGGCCCAGAGGCCACCAAGATGAACCCCAAGAGCGCCCGAGGCCTGCGAACTGGCCCCCTGACGGCCCAAGAGGCCCCCAAGACCCCAAGACGGCCCCAAGAGGTCCCCAAAACGGCCCAGGAGACCTCCAACATGCCCAGATGGCCTCCTAGACGGCCCCGAAGCGCCCCAAGAGGGCCCCAAGTCGGCCCAGAGAGGCCCATAAGACGGTGTCCGACGAGCCAGGAAACCCCTCAAACGGTCAACGAGCATCCTAAGGAGCCTCCAAAGGCCCCAAGAGGCACAAGGAGGCCCCAAAAGAGGCTCAAATAATGCCCCAAGAGACTCCCAAAAGGCATCCTCGTCCTCCTCCTCCTTGTTGTTCCTCCCTCTCATCTTCTTCTGTCTCCCTCACGTGTTCCCCGAGTGGTTTCCACAACGGCTGGGGGAACCCGTAGTCCGATAGCTTCGCCGAGCTCTGGTCGCCAGGTTCGGCCACATACGCGCTTCCGAAAGGCAGGGGGCGGCGGTGATTCGCAGCAGGCGTCTGCGATACTAAAGATGTTACGAGCACAAATCAGCTCACCACTGGAATTCCTAAAATCCAATCGGGAACTACATGCCAACATCGCGGCCTGCGCTCCTGTGTTTCTGCGAGCACCGGAACGCCCAAGAGCTCCTGGCGACTCGCGGCCCCACCAGGGTGCAGGTTCGGAAAGGACGAAGATCGAAAGGATGACCGATCGAATCCCCTGTTCCTCAAGCTGCTGGCAGTCTTGGCCAGTCCTTGTGCCCGGGCGTGACGCGCGCCCAAAGTGAACTCTCCCCCAGCGATTCATCCAGAATCTGATTGTCCCCCCCGTCGGTTGCCTGCCCGGTGATCCATAACGCCACTCACCCTCAACAACTTTATGCCACTTCTGGGAGCTATCACGGGTTGTTTGTGCTGCTGCAGTTCCCCCCGACGGAAATCCATTTGAGCTCGAATCGGCAACTCGCCCCCTCCCCACCATAAATTATATCCCTGATACCTCCATTTGTATACTTTTCGACAGAGACGGTGATGTGTTTGGGGGATGCTGTGTTTCTCCAGCCTTGCAGCGATGAACTGCGAGCCCTTCCCGACTGTTTCTCCACGCTTCTCCACCAGAGTTTCCGAGCCCAGCGCATATGTCAGTTTTGTTTTCCCCAGCTCTGAGAGATATGAATACTAATAACGATAAGAATACTGGTAATAATAATGATAATAATGATCAGCATAATGACAATAATAATGATGATATCAATAAAATTAGTAACAATACGAATAACAACAACAACAACAACAACAACAACAACAACAACAACAACAACAACAACAACAACAACAACAACAACAACAAAAACAAAAACAACAACAACAACAACAACAACCACAACAACAACAACAACAATTACTAGCACGTGGGGACACTCCGTTCTCACCAGTGCCAGGGTTTTCATAGGAGGCGGGCAATACCCCCACTTTGTGGGGGGGCCGGTTCAAGCTCTACCAAATTTCCAAACGACTCTTCGCCACCACCCACACCCAGCTTCCCGCCCTATGACGTTCGGACACTTCACTTCGTGGCATGCGGACGACCGTGGCTACTATTCAGGGCCCCGCGGCCGACGACGACGGCGTGCGCGCGCGAAGAAAAAACGAATGTGTCCCGCATGGTATTATTTGACAGGGATGATGGCCCTGGCAGGTGCGCAACCGTTGTTGCAGAAGTTCGAAAAAGTTGCTCGCAAAAGCCCGTTTGACAGAAATGATTAAAAAGTGTTGGGTTTCCTACGAATCCGCAAGAGCGCGCGGGATGAAATTTTGACATTTTTTTTTGAAAAACCATTGGTTTTTTGATGTTTTTATGTTAAAATCGCTACGAAAACTAAGGTTTTGGAAGGATTTCGTCTTGCGCGCGCGAATGTCCACTTTACCTTATTTTTTGCAAGGGATTCTTGAAGTTTGGTTATGTTAGAACAAGAAATGTCCACTTTAGCTTATTTTTTGCAAGGGAAAGCGGGGGACAACAAAACAACCGGATCTGGTACACATCGTTTTGCCTGAGGCTTCCTCACGAAAATGATGAAAACGTGGCTGCCGCCTAGGCGCGGCGGGGGGGGCGCGCACCAGGGGTCCCAACAATAATGATTCTTAAGAAGAAATAATGTTCAACAACAACAACAACAACAACAACAACAACAACAGCAGCAGCAGCAACAACAACAACAGCAACAAGAACAACAACAACAACAACAACAGCAACAACAATCACTTTACCCGAACGCTCAGTGTTCTCACCAGTGCCAGGGTTTTCATGCGACGCCAGCCAATACCCCCACTTTGTGGGGGGGAAGTGCAAGCTCTACCAAATATCCACACGACTCTTCGCCACCACCCACACCCAGCTTCCCGCCCTATGACGTTCGGACACTTCACTTCGTGGCCTGCGGACGACCGTGGCTACTACACTGGCGTGGAGTACACACCCACAGAAGTTGTTAAGCCTACGTTCGTACACCCAGGGGGGACGTTTTATTCTCGGCGGCCGAGGGCGCAACCTATGGCGCAACCAATAGGGGGACGTTTTATGGCGCAACCTATGGCGCAACCAATAGGGGGACGTTTTATTCTCGGCGGCCGAGGGCGCAACCTATGGCGCAACCGCAAGGGATTGTGGCCCCTGGCAGGCGCGCGAACCCCGTTGCAAGAGCGTGCGAAAGTAGCTCGCGCGAGCTCATGTAACATAAATGTTGGAAAACCATTGGTTTTTTTAGGATTCGGACAGCGCGCGCGGGTAGAAATTTTGAAAAGTCGTGCAGGTGTTTTTCGAGGACCTACGGTGCGATTCGTGTGATTTTATGATGCGCGGTGCTAAAATTCTTAAGAAGCCCAATGGTTTTTGGAGATTTCGGCGTGCGCGCGCGAAGAAAAAACGAATGTGTCCCGCATGGTATTATTTGACAGGGATGATGGCCCTGGCAGGTGCGCAACCGTTGTCGCAGAAGTTCGAAAAAGTTGCTCGCAAAAGCCCGTTTGACAGAAATGTTTAAAAAGTGTTGGGTTTCCTACGAATCCGCAAGAGCGCGCGGGATGAGATTTTGACATTTTTTTGTTGAAAAACCATTGGTTTTTTGATGTTTTTATGTTAAAATCGCTCCGAACACTAAGGTTTTGGAAGGATTTCGTCTTGCGCGCGCGAATGTCCACTTTACCTTATTTTTTGCAAGGGATTCTTGAAATTTGATTATATTAGAACAAGAAATGTCATTTTATAGTGTTTTTTGCAAGGGAAAGCGGGGGGGAACAAAACAACCGGATCTTGATCACATCGAATTACCTGAGGCTTCCTCACGAAAATGATGAAAATGTAGCTGCGGCCTAGGCGGCGCAGGGGGGCCGTGCACCAGGGGTCCCAACAATAATTATTCTTTAGAATTAATAATGTTCAACAACAACCACAACCACAACCACAACCACAACAACAGCAACAATAACAATAACAATAACAACAACAACCACAACCATAGCCATAACAATAACAATAATAATATGTTTGAAAAATGATCAAGCACCCAACACGCAAAATCATAGATAGCGCTGGCGGCTGCAAATGCCCCTGCTCTGTCAGTCTTGGACCCGACCTTGTTGCCCAAGAGCTTTCGTAGGAACACGATTCGCATCTGCTCTCGCGCGCAGGTGTTCGCAGGCCCACTACGTACGTACTGTACTAGCCGTGCGGTCAAACATCGTGCCCAAAGCCTCCATCTCCTCCACGACTAGGATCTCCCAAGACACGGGAGCCCGCATGCCAGGGCAATCGCGGGACAGAGTCCCAGTGAAGGGCGGCAGCGAATGACCTGGGAGGAGTGTACACTCCTTCCGCGCGGCTGGAGCAGAGAACATATCGGAAAGCGTCTGGCACATCATCGTTTCTGAAGTAGCGAACTGCATGATATTGTCTGCCCCCACGAAGGGGATGAAAAAGAAGGTCATTGAATCGGAACCCCGCGAAACGGTCCCTCCAGGAGTCCACAACTGGCCCAAGAACGTGATCGACAACAGCATTGGATATGAAAGGGGTCTCGATTTGAGTAACAACTTGCAGCAGTTACGAGGATGAAGGACGGCTCGTTTTCGAAGTGGGGTTCGTTTGACATACTCAACTTTGACGACTCGAAGCTTCAACACAAGTAGCCCGTCACGGATCAAGGGCGGCCCCTTTGCAAATCAGGATTCTCGCATGAGACTTCCTCGAATGCCATGAGGGGCGGTCCTTTTTTCGGAGGGGGGATGATGTCGCCGGAAGCCTCGTTGACATCCTCGTCCTCCTCTCCTACTCCTCATCCTTCTCCTCTTCCTCCTCCTCCTCCTCACCCTCCTCCTCCTCCTTCTCCTCCTGTGTTTGCTCCCTCTCGTCGTCGTCGTCCGTCGCCGTTTCCAGGACGGCGGGGCGGACGACCGCAAAGTTGCACGCTGACGCGGGCTCAGAGTTGCCGTTCGCGCCGTCGGGGCGATCCATGCCCGTCTGGCGGAGGAGCGGGCGACGACGACGGCAGCGTCGGCAGTGGAACCAGCGCGGCGGTTGCGGCGGTGGCGCGGCGGCGACGACGACGAAGAGAGGGAGGACGTGGAGGTGGAACGGGAATGGGGGGCGAAAGACACACGGTTTGGAGGGTGCTCTGAAGATGGGGCAGAGGATTCTCGGGCGTTGCTGGACCTTCTAGAGACTTTTGGGTGGGGGAGTTCGACATGCGCGCGCGGCCGACGCGCGAGTGGCCCGCATGGTATTATTTGACACGGATCGTGCCACCCCCCAAGCACGCGCGAAGAGGCGTTCGAATGATTTCGACGTGCGGCGCGAGGGGGCCGTCTAGCCAAATGTGGTGAAAATCTTGAGAACCTACAGTGTTCTAACGAATCTGCAGGAGCGCGAGCGCAGGCAGTCTTGAAAACTTATGTGTTGGGGACACTCGATTTTGAAACCCTTACGACACCTAAGGTGTTTGAGGGATATCGGCATGCGCGCGACGACGCGCGCGCATGCACTTCGTCCCATTTGTTGTAAGGGATTATTGCGACAGCACGCGCGCAAGGGCGTCCGAGCGATTCCGACATGCGCGCGCGAGAGGCCCTTTTGGTAGCAAGGTATGAGCATGTTCAAGAACCGTTGGTTCTCTGAAGAAGTGACAAGAGCCAGAGCAAAAGCTTGCGTTAACATTATTGTTGCGAAGCCATGTGTGTTCTATATGCGTTCGGGACACTCGATTTTGAGATCCATACAGAACCTAAGGTTTGAAGGATTTCGGCATGCGCGCGCGACGACGCGCGCGTGTGCACGTGGGCTCATTTGTTGCAAGGAAATATTGAAACATTATGATTTGTTATAAACGAGTGTGCGCGCATACTATGTTTGACCTACTATGTTTGGCAGAGGATGAGGGGGGGGGGGGGCGGATACAGGCCTGCCAAGGGATGGTATGAATTCATCCTTAGGATGGACGATGCGGGAGAACCATGTGCACATTGCACTACAAAAAGGTGAACCGTTCATTCCGGGGGGGTAGAATCTAGGTGATGCAATCTCTGCAATTCAATATGCGTGCTGCGATAAATGTTGTGCAATCGATGCTGTGCGATCTACGTTGTGTAAAATATGTGGTGCACTCTATGTTGTGCCATCTATGTGGTGTAAGCTATGTGGAGCAAACAATGTAGTGCAATCTACATGGTGTAGAAATGTGCGGTGCAATATGTGGTGTTATCTATGCTATGCAATATATGTTGTGCAATATGTGGTGTGCAACCTATGTGGCGCAGTCTTTATTGAACAATATATGTGCTGCAATGTGAGTGGTGCAGTATATGTGGTGCCGTCCACGTGGTGGAATCTATACGGTGCAGTCTATGCGGCGCAATCTATGCCAGCTATGCGAGGCGGCGACGGGGCAACATAGCCGCCAGACCGACGCACAGCCACAGACGTCGGGCGGCGACGAGGCAGCGACGGAGCGGCGGCGGCAGCAGCATCGCCGCCAGACCGACGCACAGCCACACAGACGTGGGCCGCCGACGAGCGGCAACGGGGCAGCGACGTCGGCAACATAGCCACCAGACCGACGCACAGGCCCAGTTCCTTGAAACACAAGTAGGAGTCCCAAAATTCGAACACTGTTTGGGGAACATCCTCATCCTCCTCCTCCTCATCCTCATCATCATCATCATCAGCATCATCAGCAGCATCAGCATCAGCATCAGCATCAGAATCATCATCATCATCAGCAGCAGCAGCATCATCAGCATCATCATCCTGAGCAGCATCATCATAATCACCACCATCATCATCATCATCATCATCATCATCATCATCATCATCATCATCATCATCATCGTCATCATCATCATCATCATCATCATCATCATCATCATCATCATCATCATCATCAGCATCAGGATCAGCATCAGCATCAGCATCCTCATCATCAGCATCAGCAGCAGCATCATCAGCATTATCATCAGCAGCATCATCATCACAAACAGCAGCATCATCATCATCGATGTCATTCTCGTCATCGTCATCGTCATCATCATCGTCATCATCCTCATCATCATCAGCATCATCAGCATCATCATCATCAACAATAGCATAAACTACAACATCAACATCAACAGCATCGTCGTCAGCAGCTTCATGTTCATCATCAGCATAATCATCATAATCATCAGCATCATCATCATCCTGAGCAGCAGTAGTAGCATCAGCATCAGCATCATCGGCAGCAGCAGCAGCAGCATCGCCATCATCGTCAGCATCATCATCATCACCACCACCATCATCATCATCATCATCATCAGCATCATCATCATCATCATCATCATCATCATCATCATCATCATCATCATCATCATCATCATCATCATCATCATCATCATCATCATCATCATCATCATCATCATCATCACCAGCACCGGCACTGGCACTGGCACCGGCACCAGCACCTGGCACCTTCACCGTCGTCGCCATCGCCATCATCCTTTTTCATCATCCTCCTCCCCCCTCCTCTCGCCTCCCTCTTCCCTTTACCCGTGCCTTATCACGATTCCCTCCTCCCCCACTGTCTCCTCCCTCCTGCCACCACCTGCTGTGCCTGATGCCTTCGCATTATATTCCTGCTGCTCATCCTTCTCCTCCCCTTCTTCCCCTTCCTTCTCCTCCTCCTCCTACCTCCCTCCCTCCCTCCCTCCCTCCCTCCCTTCCTCCCTTCCTCCCTTCCTCCCTCCCCTCCTCAGGTACGAAAGACGACGACGACGACGAGAACCGACGACGAGAACCGACGACGACAACAACCGACGACGACTGCCGTGGCGGCGATGCTGGCGTGAAGGAAACGGGCCCTGGCAGAAACGGGCCCTGGACCCCAGGGGAAGGGTATTTTCCCCAGGGAGGCCCCAGGGGGGCCAGCATCTCACCCCAACGCCGTCCCTGAAAGGCCCCAGAAGCCGACGGGGACCAGGCCTGCTTCCCTCGACCATCCCCCCACACGCTTCCTTCCATGGCGCCCTCGCCGAGGGCATCGATCGGCCCCTCAGGGAAATAAAGAGGAGGGAGGAGGAAGAGGAGAAGGAGAAGAGGAGGAAGAGGGGGGGAACAGGAGGAAGAGGAGGAAGAGGAGGAAGAGGAGGAAGAGGAGGAAGAGGAGAAGGAGAAGAGGAGAAGAAGAGGAGGAAGAGGAGAAGGAGAAGAAGGGGTGGCAGGGGTGGCAGGGTCACGAGCGGCGAACGTCTTCGAGTCCACGCCCTCGCGGTCTCGACTCCTGAGCGCGATCCCGCGGATGCGCGGTTCGCACGGATGCGCTCCGCGCGGGGCACCCGCGGACACAAACGCCCCAGATCCGCGGGGTCGCGGCACGGGGGCCTGGCCCGCGAGGCCGCGGATACAGACACGTCCCTCGCCCACGACGGGGGGAGAGGAGAGAGGGGGGGGGGAGGGGGAGGAGGAACGGGAAGGGACGGGAAACCTCCGAGGAGCCCGTATCCCTCGGGCCCGCTCTCCTTGACGGCGGTGGCGACCCCCCCCCCCCCCCACGTGGCCGCCCACGGCCGCCCCGCGCGCGCGGTCCTCTGCGGCCAGCTCGAAGTTTGGCGCCTTCGCGCCCGGGAGGGGGGGGGTAACGGCGGCGCGCCCGCGCAGGGAGGGGAGGGGTCAGAAGGGGAGGAGGAGGGGAAGGGAAGGAGGCAAGAGGACAGAGGGGGAGGGAGAGAGAGGAGAGGGGAAGGGAAGGGGGAGGTGACAGGGGGGGGGTCAGGAGGGGAGAGGAGGGGAGGGGAGGGGAGGGATGGAGGGAGGGAGGCAAGAGAAGAGAGGGAGAGAAAGCGAGCTAGGTGCGCTCGCGCCACATCTAACATCATACCCCTCCCGCCCATCCCTTCCGATTACACTGGTACATGTTATATCCGCCGGCGGGTGGAGGAGGAGGAGGAGGACGACGACGGAAGAGGAGGACCGAGGAGGAGGACGGAGGAGGAGGAGGACGGAGGAGGAGGACGGAGGAGGTGGCGGATGGGAGGGCTGGAGGGAGGGGGCTGGAGGGCCAGGACGGACGCGCGAAAGACCAACGGGCACACCCACGCCAAAGCGCCAGCCCGCGCTTGTCTGTTCGAGCGGGAGGGGGGGGGGGGCAAGAGGAGAGGAGGGGAGAGCGAGAGGGGGGACAGCAACAGCAGCAACCAGGCCGAGAAGCAGGACGGCAGGCCGAGGAGCCGGAGGCGGAGTTGGCCCCGAGGGCCGCCGCCGCCGTCTCGTCCACTCGAGCGGGAGGGGGGAGGCACGAGGAGAGGGGGGGAGAGCGAGGGGGCGGCAGTGGCGGCAGCCTGGCCGAGAAGCAGCGCCCGCGACCACAAACTCGGCGAGCGACTCGCGACGGCGCTGCGCGCCTGGAAGACCAGGCCTCAAAGATCCGAGCCCAGGCAAGGCTTAGGTCGAGCATGTCCCCCTGCAGGCGGATGTGGGGCGAGAGACAGAGAACAGCCAAAGAATGCTCAGAAACAATGAAAAAACGCCCGAAATAGTCGTCCCTGTCTCATTTTTTCACTGTTGTTGAACACTCCTCCTGCAGAGGGACGTGCCCGACTTGAGGCAAGGCCGAGAAGCAGGACGGCAGGCCGGGGAGCCGGAGGCGGCGGCGGCCGGGAGCCGCCACGCCGCCGCCCCCCCCCGGCGCGCGCAGAGAGGGGGACGGTCGCGGCTCTCGGGGCTCGAGGGGCGAGGCCCGGGGGCCGAGGGTCGACGGCCCAGGCTAGACGACGACGACGACGACGACGACGACGACGACGACGACGACGACGACGACGACGACGGGGTCGGGGGCCGAGGAGCGGGGGGCGGGGGCCAGGGATGGAGGGCCACGGGGGGAGGGAAAAAGGGTCGAGGGTCGAAGGTCGAGGCGGCATCGTCGCCGCCGCCGCCGCTGGGGATCGAGGATCCAGGCTCAAGAGATCGAGGGATCGAGGGATCGAGGGATCCAGGAACCCAGGGTCGTCGGGGATCGAAGGTCCTCAGGGATTGAGGATCCAAGTTTTTACGGCTTCACGCCCTTCTATGGGCCTCCGAGGGTCCCCGGCGGCCTCCTGGTGACCTCCGGGGCCTCCGGGGATCCCTGGGGGCCTCCAGAGATCTCCGAGGACCTCCGACGGAGAAGGAGGTAGAGGAAGGAAGGCGGGGAAGAAGGAGGCCGGGGGAGGAGGAGGACGAGGAGGAGGAGGAGGACGAGGAGGAGGATTTTTTTGCAACATCAACGCAGAGGATGACTGCACGAGCGACTGTGCAAGCTCTGGCAGGCGGCAGCGAGGTCGGGCAAAGCTGGAGACTCCGTCCCCAGGGTGCAACCGAGCTGCGAGGCCGACGCGCCCACCAGTCGAACAGCACGGGGCGAAAAGGACGGCCACAAGAGACGACAGCCACGCTACGCGGGGGGGCTTTTGCCAGTCTTCCAGGACATCGACGGGCTGTGCAGTCACCGTGGACGCTTGCCTTGCAGGTTTCGATTCCAGCTGTACCGACGTCCTCGCATCCTTTGATCAGACAGCGGCAGGTTGAAGAGAGGACAGCGTTTGCCCAGCTCAGTCACCCTGCCTCCAGTGCTATAGAGCTTGCAGCGCGTGCACACCGCTATCAAAGAGCTGTCCGAGCAGTCGAAGGCAGCCATACTGTGTCCCAGCTCCTTGAGAGTCTGGGGACTTAGACAACGCAGGCCGCCGGGGCCAGCGCATGGCCCAGCCGGAGGTCGCTCAAGGCGCGAGCCCCTTAAACAGACATTGCATTGCCAAGATGCCCCAATCTTGGCCCACTTGCGCTTGGTCTTAGCCGGGCGGCTGGCTCCACCAACACGTTTCACCCAGGGCACGCCTTGGAGGTTCAAATCTAGACCACAGCGGGAGCACGCGCGCAGCAATCTTCGCGACCAAACGAACTCTTCCTCCTCCGACGGTCTGGGATGCTGTTCGCGGCCTAAGCTGGCCAGGCGATCAGCGTGGAAGTTGCCGAGGCGCAGTCGGTAGTCGGCCTCGGGCAAGCTGTCATCAAGCTCTCGGTGCGCAGGCACCGTACATACATCGCTGACGTAGTGCTGTCTGCCCGAGAGAACTTGCAGAACGAACCCTGCATGCACGCGCTTGTGAGACAGCGCGAAAGGCCTGGCCAGTCGCCAATAGTTGACGACCGATAGGGATTCTGAAAAAATCGCAGCGGGGCCCACCAGCACATACATCACGGCAGCGTTAATCCCGCACTCGGCCCCCCGGGGCGCCCGGGGCCAATGGGCCCACAGAGGAGCAAATCACGCAGCCAAGGGAGCCATCGGGCGGCACAACCACACCTCCTAAGCCAGCCCTGGACGGCTCACGGATGGGGCGTTTGTGGCTAGACCCGTCGATGAACAGGCCCCCGGAAAGCTCTAATCTCCTGCACTGTCTGCCCCCCCTGGAGCATGACTTTCAGAAATGACGCCGCCGTCGGTCAGGGGCCGAGGCCAGCGGCCCCCTGGGCGCTGGAACAAGCCACAGGAGAAAAGCAGGACATCCTCGGTGGAGGTCGCATCCGTGGCCTCGACGCAATATGCCCCGCGCTTCCCCCTTAGAGCATCGCCCCTCTCCCCCTGGCAACTCGCACAGATCCACAGACGGCGGGGCAAAGAGTCCGCGGCCTCCCCGCAGCGCCCGCGCAAAACATTATCTACCTGGTAGCCGAGAGGCCGAGCGCGCACCAGCGCCCAGACGGCGTCGGAGGCAACGCCCCTGATACAGCCCCCCTGCAGAGGCGTGAACTTGGACGACGACACCGCCGTCTTCACGATAAAACATTCCCTGCCATCGACCCCCCCCTGAACAGCCACATCCCTCTCCAGAGCACGAATAACGGCCTGCTTTAGCAAGCTCCCTACCAGCTCGGGCGCAGCGAGGGCGAGCGAGATCGCGCTACCGAAGTCGCCAACGAAAGCAGCGAACGACTCCATCGCCCAGACAATCCCGGCTCAAGAGAGGCGCAGCGCCACCATGGGACCTGCCACTTTCCTCCAAGTGACCAAACGAGATTGTCTGAAGGCCGCCCCCCATCCAGTCCAGTCCTGAGCTCACGCCAGGGAAGCATCCCTTGTAACAACCGAGCACGTCGAAACCAAATTTCTTGGGCGCAACGAACGGCGACGACCACCGATCCAAACCAAGCAGGACCATCCTCAAAAATCATCAGCCCAGACAGCGATCTCATCCCCGCCGATGGTTGAATCGTCGAAGAGGCCCCCCTACGAACTTGCAACAACTCATGATCCGACACCCGGAAGACAGTGCAACCGTAGAAAAACATTTGGCATAAGGGCCCTCGCACAGATGCGCACAGTACGCCTGCCAATAAACATCCTCTGGCGCTGGAGCTGCTTGACCCCCCTCTTGAAAATTGCCATGCGGACTCCGAACTTGTTTGGCCTGCCCGCCTGTCGCCTGTCGCCTGTCCAGCCCAGAAGTAACATCGACCCCTAGGTTCGTCGCGACCGCGAGGCGCGGCCCGCGCGGGCCCCAAGATGCTCCTGGAGGGCCTCAGCTACCGTTGCGCTAAATGAGATCATCGCAGTCTTCTACTCGGCGATCCTCGATTCTACGCCAACCACGATGACCTGGCGCGAAACATCAGCAGCCGCAAAGAATCCGCGCAACGTGATCTGGCGGGCCGACCGACGTGAGAGCGTTGTCATCAGCATGGGTATCGAGAGACGTTCTGTGACGCACCGTACTGCATAGTAGCCATAACCTCGTCATAAGCCACCACGGCACATATACGCACGCGCGTGGTAGCAAGGAGCAGCCAGCCACAACCCCTCTGACCACTAAACACGGACCGTTGATACAACCAGCCATTGAAGCATAACGCTGGGCACGACAAGCAGCCAACGCAAGGTATAAGATGGCAAGAGGCAGCCCACGTCGAAGGGCTTGATCTACGAGGTGGGACAAACTAAACAGTTCATAGTACGTGCGCATGCCCCACAGAAGTCCTGCCGCAACCCCCCCGTCAGATACCCCCTGTTCCGCTCTGAAGGCTCGCCTCCAAACGACGCCCAGTGCTCCGCGGTGGCGCCCAGCCGCGAAGTGGGACCTCCCATGGTTCAGCCCACGCTGGGGTCCGCGTGGACTGCGGGCATTGCCCAAGGCTGAACAGACTGCAAAAAAACACCGATGGGGCGCCAGCCCCCCTGCACCTGAGAAAGGAGAGCGATGAAGACCACCTGGGGCTGTGACGGGAGGGAGCCAAATAACCCCACGAGGTACATCATGATAGAGACGGCGTTCAGACTATCATCGGAGAGTAAGGCGTAGTGCTTCATGCGGAAGTCATCCACACACACACACACACCGTACTGCCCGATTTGCATTGCCCCGAAGGATTCCCGATGGCATCAGGGCCCAAGAGGGGAAGGGGCGCGCGCGCCCGACGCGGGCCCCTCGCCTGCGACTCTCTGGAAGCCCCCCAGGGAACCCCGAGCGGGTCCCTCTCGCTACTCAACATCGCCAGCGGGTCAGAAACCACACACCCTCCCGCTCAGAACGTGGCAGTCGGAGTCCAAGTCGCAGGATCTCTGACGACGCTGCGCGCCCGCTTCCCCCAATGGTCTAGCCTGCGAGTGATCGAGGACTTCCAACCCCCGAGACCGATAGCTGTGCATTCCCTGATGGTGGCCTCGAGAACTCCGGAGACGTCGTTGCCAAGCTCCTCAAAGTCGTAAGCCGAAACATCCGAATGAGGGATCGACTGGCCCCAACTGTCCGAGAAACCTCTATCCCGCCTGAAGAGACCCGCAGGCTCTCCCGGGTTGGCCCCGATGCATCCAGGAACTCACACAACTCATCCAAAATACGCAGACCAACATCACCGAGCCTGCCGACAGCAGAAGCAATGCACCGCCCCAGGCTCAAGAATCTGACACTGAGCCAGCGAACACAAGAAAGTTCTGGATACCTCGGGCGGTTGTCTTGTTTGGCCACACTCTTCCAAAACGTCTGCGGGCGTTTGCCCCTAGCTGCGCAGCACGGAAAAGCGGCGCCATAAACCGAACACAACTCTTGCTCGGAAGTGTTTGCCCAAGTCTTGTAAAGAACATTCGAAATAACCTGAGCCCCATCAATGAGGCCTGCGTCCGCTGCGCGAACAGCACGATGCCTCAGCTGAACGACATCATCTCACCTAGGAGGTTCGGGACTCGGCCCAGTCAAAGTTTCAACTGGCAACAACGGAGGCAATCGAAAAAAAACAAGCACCTGCAACTGCGCGAGCCTAGGGTGTAAATACAAGTCGAGTGCACCCGAGCTCACCTGGATGTCCCGAACGCCCTTGGCCAGGCCAGCAGAACCCAAGAAGAAATCGCACTTGGTCGGAGGCTTCGCCAGGAAACCCGCGGGCCCATCAGGCGCCAAAACCTGACCCTGGAGCTTTGTGCCGATATCCACGTTGCCCAGGTCCTCAGGTTGCAGGTTGAAGCCACCACCTGCAAGCGCACCTCTTTCAGCTACCGACATGCAGCCCCAAATACTCGCGAGGATATCTAAGTTGGCGTCGGAGAGGCCCTCCGACGTCACCAAGGAGCACGAGAGAACCAACGTGGAATACCCCCAGAGTGGCGCACACAGCCAGCAAAAACTACGTGGGGAACCACTTGAGAGCCTGCAGGAGGTGCGTGGAGCCCCATGCAGCCCCTGGCCAGGAAAGCAACGCCCACAGACGCCCCAGAGCCCTGACGAGGGGCCGCTGGTTCCGAAAGACTGCGCCATCCTCGAGCCGAGCACCACTGGGAAGCCTTCTCAACGGGGTCCCCAGCACTCAGCCTGTGCTCCTGAACGAGCACCACGTGGGCCCTGGAGGGCATGATCCAGTCCTGCATGGAGCCCCAGCTGCCCCCACGGACCGCCCGGGCGCACCGAGAAAACTGCTCCTCGGGGGGGGGGGGGCCAGGCGGGCCCCACGGCCCGAACGAGGGGGGCCGCCAAGCTCGTGCGCTCCGCCCACGGCAGCACTCGGGATGGAGAACCTGGAACGGCGGGGCTCTCGGAGGGTCGACCCTCGCGGCCCCTGCACACAAGAAGATGGTCCCCCCATTTGTGCCGCGGAAAAGATTGCGACGCTTCCAGCGCCGCCAAGACTTGCCGAGCGAGGCCTCGGCGTCGAGCTGCCCAAAAACACAGCTGCGGCATTGGTTCGAAAACCCTCAGCTCAGGCGAAGAAGCTGTCACGTTGCGATCAGGAGCCCTTCCCCCCCGCCACGGAAGCAGCGGGGGGGAGGTGAGTGGACCACTGCCTCTAAGCTCTGGCCCGCACATCTGCTGGTGACTCCTGCTGCGCTGGCTGCGCTGCCGAAGCCGAGTCAGGCGCGGCGGGCGCCTGGGCCTCAGGAGCAGAGGCGCCTCCTCCACCTGGCGTAGCTGGCACTGGAGCACCACCCTCAGCACCGCCGCCGTTGGAGTCGCCAACGCCGTCCTGGGAGCCGACACCCCTCCGCTTCGACTGCAATCGCGCCATGTGATCAGCATGTTGTTGCTTGACATCTTGAGCTCGTTTGACGAGAGGCCCCGGCAAGTCAGTCGCCAGCTTCTTGGTGGACTCGCCAAGACGCTGCTTCCACTGGTCGATCTCGTCGAGGTCGGACTGGTGCAACTCCGTCTCCAAAGAAGCGGCGGCAACCAGCTCGCAAGGTCGATGAAATTGGCAAAATCGAAGGAGCTGTCGACAAGCTGCGAGAGCCTGAGGGTGGTCTGGATGGTCTCATTCACGCCCTGATGCGTCGCCTTGAGCTCCTCCACATCACTCTTGTACTTCGCGTCTGCCCTGTCCAAGTCCCGCTTGACAGACTGGATGTACTCACGTTGGTCGAAAACTGCGGCCTGCCAGTGCTCGAACTTCTCAATCTCATCTCCAAAGCTATCTTCATATCAACACGACCCACTGCTGCATGACTCTGCTGAATCCGCTGATGAATGGGGGTCGCTGAAGGGTTCTCCTTGTGGTGGAGCTGGTTAGCATAGTTGGTATACTTCGCCGCCGCCGTCGCATCACCCGCCTTGCGAGATAGGAGGAGGAGGAAAACGAGGAGGCGGAGGAGGAGGCGGAGGCGGAGGCGGAGACGGAGGCGGCGGAGGAGGGGGGGAGGGGGGAGGGAGGAGGAGGCTGAGGGGGGGGGAAGCTGAACAGGGGAAGTCAGCGGGAGGGGGAGGAGGGAAGGGGACGAGAGAAGGGTGCGGGGGAGGAGGAAAGGGGGGAGGGGGGGACGGGGGGGGGGGGGGAGGGGGATGAAATAGCAGGAGGGGGCAGGAAGGGGAGGAGGACTGGGAGGAGGAGGAGGAGGTGGGGGAGGAGGAGGAAGAAGGGAGGAGGGAGGAGGGAGGAGGGAGGAGGGAGGATCGGATCGGCTCTACAGGAGGAAGCGTCAAGCCCCGCAGCGCCGTCTGGGCACCCCCCCTTCGAGAAGGCCACAAGTGTGGAGCCTAAAACTCAAAAAACAGTGGTGGCCGCATGTTGTATCTCGCCCTGCCCGGAGGACAAAGCCCACCCAGGCCGAACCATCCACCCAGGCCGGGGGCTCAAAACTTGAGCCCACTGTCAAAGTGCGGAGCATTCCCGTCCCCTACCGCTCCAATAGAGGCAATCCCCGCCCCGTCAATGCAGCGCCCTATTGAGCAATATCGTCATATGTGGCTGCACAGGTGCCGAGGGAGAGTTCGGTGATGAGTCGAGGACCCTCAATCAGAGACCTGTTACCAGCAAAAAAAACAAGGACCCTGCATCAACTTTGCTAGCGTCGTTGGCGACCTGCATGAGGGTGTCGTGGGGGAGATCGTGAGAGGGCCCTCGAACAGAGACCCCCCAGAAAAATGCAGTTGAGTAGGAGACTGCAGCCGGCAAGCACAGCATTCTGCCTGCCTGTCTCCTTGGCGCCGCGTAGAGAGGCTTCGAGCGCAGTTTCCTCGAGCGGCCCTCGAAGCTGTTCCAACTGCCGCCCGTGGTAGGGCGGCAAGCCCGAGGCAACCTCCGGAGACTCGACGACTCCTCGCAGGGACAGCGTCCGGCTGGCAACCACGCCGCTCACATTCATGAGCCTCAGCCCTCCCCTGCCCCTCCTCCATTGCATCCCCCCTTCTCCCCCTCCAGGGGGAGGAGGAGGCAGAGGAGGAGGACGAGGAGGAGGAGGAGGAGGAGGAGGAGGCAGAGGAGGAGGAGGACGGGGAGGAGAAAGGAGAAGGGAGGAGGGAGGAGGGAGGAGGGAGGATCGGCGCGGCTCTGCAGGAGGAAAAGAAGGAGGAGGAGGAGGAGACGTCTACGGCGACACCAGAATCGAAAACCCGCCGAACCTATCACGAAACCGAAGGCCGACCGAAGCCGACGGACAGAAGGCAGCCTTTCAAGACACAGCGGCGAGACAACCGAGCGAACCGAACCGACCGAACGCAGGCCGACTGTGAATCGGCCGACCGAATCGAGTCGCGGACACGTTTGGCCCTCCCCCTCCTTCGCCCTCGCCCCTCCTCCCGATACAGGTCGGACGAGAGGGGGAGGGGGAAGGGGGGGTTAGCAGATCGGCGGCGTGCAGCTGGCTTCCCTGGCGCCTCTGGGCGCAGGGAGCTAGCCACCCTGCATCTGGGAACGCGCTGGCACCTGGGGCCAGGGCCAGGGCGAGCTGCCCGAAGCAGATTTCGAACCCCCCAGCTGTCCCAGTCCCCCCGAGGCCCTTTGGTCTGCATCAAGCTCGTCCTCTTGCCCGTAATCTTCTGCTTATCCGCGACAACGCCCGTGACCTGCCTCGCCCCCCACGCCCCCCACCCCTGGTCACGCCATGCTTCGCGCTGGCGCCGTCTGGAAATGAGCCCTCCCCGGGGATTCCCACACAGCGCCGGCGCGGATCGAGACGTGCCCAGCCACTTCCCGGACCAGAAAACAGACGACACCACCCCACCTCCGGCCCCACGGGGCTTAGCGTAAAGCAGAAAATCTGGCGTGGGCTCTGGCGTGTTATACGCTACGGCGCCATCGGGCCGTAGCGCATCATGGAGGGCCGTGGGTGGGGTAGTGTCGTTCGTTTTTGTTGGCCGACTTCCCCCCCTCCCCTCCCCAACCGCCCCCCCTGGTCACGCCCGCTGTCGCCAGGGGATACACGAACGGTGTCCTCTCGCTCCTGGCAACACGCCGACGCCGGCCGACCGGTGCCCGAAAAGCCGCCGCCCAGGGGGCGACCGCCGTGGCCTCGACGGGCGACACCAGCACCTGCAACCCGCTGCTGCGCACGTGGAACACGTCTGGAAACCTAACGGCCGCAAGTGGCGCCACCCGGCGTGGTCGTTGGCAAGGCCGACGTCGACATTGACGGCGACGTCGACGGCGGCGGTAAGGTTAAAGAGAAAAAGAAAGCACTAGGAATGTTGACCACTTCACTTTTTGAACACCCTCCTCGCAAAGGCCGCGCACTTGCACGGAAGGTGATGTAGATTCAGTTCTGAATGTAATTAAATTTAAACCAGGGGCATCGTGGAGGGCGCGAGGATGGTTGCATTGCGCCTTCGACTGAGCGTGGTAAAGGTACAACTGTGAGTGGGAGCACGAATGGCATGGCGAATGCGAGTACAATCGCAATCATGTCGCGCTACTGCGACGTGTAGAATAACGGTTGCTGGTGACGAGTGCGGCGTCATCGCCGCCTTTTCGTGAGGAGCCGCTCATACTACGGAAGATCGCGTTTTCAGCGCGTATCCGACATATCCCTACCATTAAGATTCAGGAACACGGCAAAAACAACCGATATAAAACTGATTAGGCCCTCAGATCAGGACCCTTAATTTGGTCGCGACCCTTGATTGTCTCGCGACCCTCAACTTTTCACTAACATGAGCTTGTCCACGACACTAACTCGTTTTGCTCGATGGGGTGGGCCCCCCGAAAAAGTTAAGGGTACCAGGTTCTCGCCCAATACTGCCCCCACCCCCAACTTTATTGTGCGAGGTGGCTGCCCCGCAACCCCACCCCACCCCAGCCCACCTCAAAAAAAAGGAAAATGGTGGGTTTGCTTTCCACCGCCACCACCATAGGCAGGAGGGGGAGGGGTCCTCCTCCTCCTCCTCCTCCTCTCTCCTCCTCCTCCTACTCCTCCTCCTCCTCTTCCTCTTCCTCCTCCTCCTCCTCCTCCTCCTCCTCCTCCTCCTCCTCCTCCTCCTCCTCCTCCTCCTCCTCCTCCTGCCTCCTCCTCCTCCTCCTCCTCCTCCTCCTCCTCCTCCTCCTCCGCCTCCTCCTCCTCCTCCTCCCTCCCTCCTACTACTACTACTACTACTACTACTACTACTACTACTACTACTACTACTACTACTACTACTACTACTACTACTACTACTACTCCTCCTTCTTCCCCCCTCCAACTTATGGTGGTGGTGGTGGAAAACCAGCCCGTCAGGAAAGGGTCGGGGGCGAGGTGCATCCTCGGCCAGGCCCGCCAGCCTCTGCGCGAGGCCGCCCAGCTCGCGAGGGCTACCGGTCGAACCCCAAGCCCACGGCTTAGAGTTGCGCAGCGCAAATGGCTCAAGGCACAGGGATTCGGAGCAGGAGTCAGCCGCACGGGAGCGTGAGACGCACCGCATAGGATCACAGCCCTGAAGGGAACCGCGCAGCGAGCCAACTGTACTTCGCGCCAGGTACAAAAGATTCGGCGGCGAGCGAGGGGGCGAAGTGAAAAGGAGAAGGCCTTGTCAAAAGGTTCAGAAGTCCCCGGGAAGTTTGAGAAGCTCGCTGAACCTTCACCGTAGACACAGAAAACCTCTCAGCTGGCCAGCGGGTTTCTGAGAAGCCCCGCCGCCTTCTGAGAAGGCTTTCTCCTTATCAAGTTCCCCCCTCGCCCGCCGCCGAGAGAGTCGCACCCGCCCTCTGGGCGTAGGTGTGGTCTAGGGAGCTTCCTATTCCAACCTTCTTCTTCCCCTTCAGGGAGGGATTCGCCCCTCTCCCCTACCCCCTCCCCTGGACCTGGACGAAGTACTTTTTCGCGCAAGATGGCTCAAGATAGCCCAAAATGCCTCAAGTCGGCTCCCCATGAAGACCCCAAGAACGCTCCAAGACGGTTACAGGACGTATCCGGAACCTCCAAGGAGGCCGCCAAGAGGCTAAAATCCTACAAGAACCTTAGGAATAATGATAACGTTTGCCTTCTCGCCCGTTTGCTTTCGATGCCTCCAGATGGCTCCCAGGGGGCCCAAGAAGGCACCAAGAAGGGCCCGAGCGAGCCCCAAGACGGCCCCAAGAGCGCACAAGAGCGAGCGCCCCAAGAGGGGCCCAAGAAGCTATTTCGGGCACTCTAGAATGGCAAGGCTAATTTAAGATCCCCTCTGTTTGTATCGATCTCCTCCGAGATGGCCCCAAAAGCGCCCCCAAGGCACCCAAGCGCGCCCCAAGAGGGTCCCAAGAGGCGCCCAGGAGGTCTCAAGAGGCGCCCGAAGGGCCTCCAAGAGGCCCCCAACAGACCCCCAAGACGCCCCAAGAGGACAACCGAGGCACCAAAGACGTTCAAAGAGGCCCCCTGGGCGCCTCGCCTAAGCATCGCTTCGGGATGGGCCGGCGGGGGTTACTTTTTGATCGCAAGAGCACCGGAAGACGCCGGGCGCCGTCAGAACGAAGCGCCAATGCAACGGCCTAAATTACGCACAAGAGCGCACAGGAGCGGGCTACACTGCAGCGCAGGAAACGCGGAGAACCAGGAAGGGCCACAGGTCGACGTGCAGCGCCAAAATGGCGAAGAGCAAGAAGTCGACGAACTCGAGGACCGCCGCGACGCAGCCGAAAAGAACGACGAACAGGGCATGCAGGCGCTCAACGGAGAGGTCCCGGATCGTCAGGGTCGGAGCACGGGCGCGGAAGCGACGGAAGCGCCACCACGGCGGGGGGGCAGGGGAAGCCATCGCCAGGGCGGCACAGGAGCAGCAGAGGCGGGGAGCCAGCGGAAAAAAAAAGGTAGCAGGCCTGCGGTGGAGGCGGCGAGAGCCAAGCCAGGGATAATAGCCGACCCTGGGGGAGGCGACGTGGGGGGGGACCGGGCGCCCGCCAACCCCGCGCGAGCAGGCGGCGGACTCAAGGCGAGCCGCAGGCCGGGGAGCCCAGGGGCACCCCGAACTGGAAGGGGCAAGCAGGCTGGCGGGGTTACGTTTTTGTTCGCGAGCGTCGCGGTCCAACCGCGCGCCGTCCAGAAACGAGGCAGCCGCGCCAAGCTCTAAATTAGGCACTAAGCGCGCAGGAGCAAACTACCCTGCGACTCAGGAGGCGAAGAAGACGCTGAAAGACAAGCCGAAAACGCCGATGCCGTAGGAGACCAGGAGGTAAATCCGGTCCACGTGCAGCGCCAAAATGGCGAGGTAATTCATGCCCGAATCCCCGAAGAACACGTCCGCGCACTCGAGGGGGGCGATGACCACGGCCGCGTAGTCGAGGAGGGCATCCGCGCAGGCGCTCAACGGAGGACTCCGGATCGCCAGGGGGGAATCAGAGCCACGAACGCGATGGCGCCCCTTGCGCGCATGGAGAGCACGAAGGCGGGAGCCGCGGCGGCGGGGCAAGGACGGCACCAAGCAGAGCACCGACAGCGAAGGCGGAACGCCAGGAACGCCAGGATCATCGCCAAACTCGCGGGGGCGAAGCCCAACCGGCACGGGGGAGACAAGGTGTCCGACGACCCCGAACGGGCGAGCGGCGCCCACGAGCCGAGGAGCGCCCAAGCGGCGAGGGACACCCCGAGGGGGGGGCGAGCGGCATGCCCCAGAGCGACCGGCGGGGCCGAACAGGGACAGCAAATGGCTGGTGGGACTAGTTTTAGTCAGCGGCCGCAGGCGAGCGCGCCAGCGGCGAGTCCAGTCAGAGCGGGGCGCGCAGAGACGAATTAACCTAAAGCGGTAGGCCGAAGCTTCACGCAGCACCTCAGCGGCGGGCCGGCGAGCGGAAAAGGCTGGCGGGAAACTGGGCAACAGCACTGCCAGGGTGCACGCATGCAACGCGTCGGAAGCAGCTGGCGGCCAGGGAGACCGGCGACCAGGGACAGCAGCAGACGTTGAATTAGTTACAAGGGCGCAAGCCCCCGGACTACTACGAAGGCACCAGGGTGGCCGCAGCCGAGTGAACCAGCTGTCGGAAGTCGAATTGGACTGGCGGGGTTACTTTTTTGATTCGCGGCCCGCAAGGAAAAGTCCAGAGGGCGGTGCGAACGAGGCTGGGACACAGCGCACGCGAAGGCAGATAATTAACGGCGCAGCACAAGTGCCGGCCAAGAAGAAGCAGCTGAGCATGTGCCAGCAGCAGAAAATTAACAACGCTGAACATGTGCCAGCGAGGGATGCAAATGGGAAGAACCAACCGCTGAGCGCGCGCCAGCGAAAGTGGGGGGGGCGGAAAGGCCGGACCCGCAGGTGGGGCCAGACTGCCAGGCGGAAGGTGCCAAAACCACTCACTCACTTGGAACGTCGGCCAGACTGTACGCCGCTGAGGGGGGTTCGGGCCAAAGCCTGGAGATGGCCGACCAGAAAGGGGGGCGCCCGCGATGGCCCCTGGCACCAAGGCGGTGCACGGCTTGCGCATCACGAAGGCACTCCTGTGACTGTAGCCGACGTCTAACACAAGCGCCAGAACGGTGCCTGACCGACATCCTTGTCCGCTGATGCCGACAAGCGGCCGACCGCACTGTCACCACGCCCATGTGAAAGGGGGGTCAGAAGCCGCCGTCCCAACGGGCGACGAAGCGGAAGCCACCACATGTTGCCGACTCCAAAAGATGGACACCCGAAATGGCTGAGGCCAGCGTCCGGCGCGTCCCGGCCCGCGTACGTCGCGGGCAAAATGAAGGCGTAGGACGCCGAGAGCGGGCGAAGCGCCTTGAGCGAGCCTTCTCGGAACACCACGGGCCGACGCAGCGGCCAAACCGACGACGGGATTATTCCAGCCGGCCGAACGGGCGAAAGGCCCACGCGAACGCAGGAACTATCTCGGCGGCGGGGGGCACCTCAACCCCGGGACGCAGCAACAGTCCGCCCCAGTGGCCCACTGCATCGGTGAAACAGGACCTGTCGCCGTCAGCCGACAGGAGCGGCCGCCTGGTGGTGACCCAGTGGCCCAGGGGCCCACAGCAACTCATTCTCCTTCGGAAATCGCACCCTGCGGCGACGAGAAAGGGGGGGTAGCAGCCGATAGCCGCAGTCAAGAGTGTAGAATCGGGGGGTCAGCAGCCGATCGCCGCGAAATGACAGCACGTGGCGACGAGGAATGGGGAGTGCAGCCGATAGCCGCGGAACTGGAGAATGCGGCGAAGGGTTAGGGGGAGCGACCTGGCCGCAGGACATCGTCTGGGGTGGGAACGCCCTAGGGAAGTCCCACGTTACCCGTGCACGGCAAATCCTCCGCCGAGGGGGTTCACGCGTTGTCCTGGCGACCTGACGCCGTACGTCTTGGCGGCTGTTGTAGAGGCGGCCTCGCCCTAGTCGGGGGGCCCCTGCCAGGCCCTCTGCCAGTCTACCAGCGCGCGAGCCCCCATCCTCGCCGTCGCTTGTCGGCGCATTGCTCGCCACTTTTGGGGCGGTCCTTTTCACCCTGTTCCCCCACGAAGCCCCCCTCCAAGAGCTACTCTGATGGCCCCGCCCTTCCCATCGCGGCCTTGGGCGCCATGGGGCCCCAGAGCTGGATGCTCTCGACCAGGTACTCTCCCTATCGGTGTACGCTGGCGGGCGGCTGCGCCGTCTCTGGGTCTGCTCCATGGGCGCTGCGGCGCAGCCCCACTGTTTGTGCTGGAGGGCCGGGTCTGCTCGTGGTGACTTGCCCTGTCGGGTGGGTCAGGGGGGGTGGGTACTGTCCTTCTGTCGGACCAAGGGCATGGGTTGCCCTTGCTGTCTTGCCCCTTGGTTGCTCTGGCCCTTGCGCTGCGATGTAGTAGGCTACGATATTTGTCAGCGACCTTTTGCCACTCAACACGGAGATGGTGGTGTCTCACCAACTTGTAGGCGTCGTAACCCGCGGCTTCCCACGCCCGCTGGAATTCTTCGCATCTCTCCCTTGTGTTCCTCCTGGGGTCCGTGTGGATGTCGACCCACGGTAGACCCTGTAGGCTACTTGCCCTGCGCACCCATCCTATCCACGCCCCGTTGAATGCGCCTCCGAGTGCCCTCTGCAATATCATGACTTTCTCTTGGGCTGTCTCGCCCCTCTGGATGTCGGCCTCCTCGATGGGCCCCATGTACATGGGGAGCCCTCCTAGGGGGTCGTTCTGATGCGAAGGTGGGAGTGGCTCAGCCTGTGGGCGCGGCCGTCTCTCTGGGCTGTTGTCCTGCCGGGGGCTGGGCGCCCGGCGGGTCTCGTGCGTTGGGGCTGCGAGCTCCTGGATAGACTCCTGATTGCAGTCTGGCCTGCTCCCTTTCCCTCCTAGTTTCCTTTGGTCAGCCCTTCTGTCACGGATTTATGCCATGTCCTCTCGGAAGCGGGCCGCGGCATAGGGCGCCCAATTGGCAGCTTCCTCTTTGTCGGGGGGGGCTGTCCACAGCACTGTCCGCTTGAAGGGGACGTCTTTGCCGCTGGGGCCGCTGATTTCGGCTTCTTCGCCCTGCTGCGGGGGGCTATGGATCATGGAGACCGTCCTCTCTGGATTGTCCTCATCCCAGTCTACCTCGAACGGATTGTCGCCGTTACCGTGGGAGTCCCTATCGGAGGACGGTTCCTCCTTTATCTCCTTCGTCGCTTCTGTGGCCCCTGGGGGCTGCTGACTGAGGTCATCACAGATGGTGGGGCCGCCCGAGGCTGGAGGGCGTTTCTGCCAGGCGGCGGCGGGGGAGTAATCTCTGGCGCCGTTGCTGCTCCGGGCGCTGTGCTCGCCAGCGAGGAATTCCAGCGTTCCCCCTGCGAGATCGTCCTTCCTGAGGGACAAGAAGCGGTGCAGCGATCCCAACGGCTGCAGCCAGGGGTCTTGCCCTCTTTGGCAGTCGAGCGCGGCTGAAAAGGAGATCCAATCCTCCTGGAACTTTCCATTACTCCCAACCAACTGCGCAATTGCATTGGCTGCTGCAGCTCTATGGCCGCCCCAAGGGATGTGAGGGGGGTGCCCATTCATGGGGATCTGGTCGCCGTAGATGGAGCGGAGGAAGCGCAGCAACTGGCTGTGAGTCCAGTCGGATATCTCGCTGTCCTCACCCACTTTGTCTCCAACCCTTTCTCCACCAAAAGTCGACCAACGGATGTAAATCTCATGGTTCCATTCCAGCAGGAAATTGACCAACTTGCGTACTGGTCTGTACGACTGCTCTCCTTCCAGGCAGAGGGTCGTGTGTGTGGGCAGCCGGGGAGCGTCGGGCGGAGGGAGTGGCGGCAGAGTGCACCCGAGTGCAGCATTGTCCTTGGGGATCCTCACCGCCCGCGCCTCGAGCTCAGGGGGGGTGCTTGCGGAGGAGCCCTCCTTTGGGGATGTGCTGACAGGAGACAGGTGTGTACACATATCATAGATGTCTCCCTCCTCTGCACCTTCGCTCGCCACCATGGGGACAGGGCTGGGGGGGTAGATCATGTTGGAGTATGCGCTCAGCACCTTGTTGAGAGTGCTGGGTGCGACGTCCCAAATGTGCACTAGGCACCTTCTGCAGGCCCAGCTGGCATTCCATTGCCTTTTGGTCCACAGCGTTAGCATTGTTTCCCATACTGGGAGGCCTGTGCGGTCGCAGCACTCAGCGCCTTCTTCAGGGCGCCAGATGAAGCACCCCAGGGCGGGTGCGCCTGCCGACCATTCGAGCTCCGGGGTGTGCGTGGGGCAAAAGTCGCACTTCTGGCGGGGTTACGCGAAGCGTCTAGAACTCCTAGGAAACCACAGCACGCGACAGGGCACCGCGCGTTAATGCCTTCTGCGCGCCCCCACCACATGCCCCGGGGGCGCGTCCAGCGGGCGCAGCCTGGAGGCAGTCTCAGGCCCCAAGCTCGCCCAAATAGCATCGGCGCAATCAGGCTGCGCACAAGACATCATCAACTACGGAACAAGCAATGGACGAACCCAAAATACCGCCCCGCCCAAACAATACAGTGCGATGGCGGGATAACCCTAAAACGGTAAGCTTGCCCGCTTGTTTCTCTCCAGAGCGACGAAGGCGGCGGCGACGACGACGACGGCGGCGACGACGGCGGCGGCGACAACGTTAGTGGCGGCGGCAACGGCGACCACGATCACGACCACGACCACGATCACGACCACGACGACCACGACCACGACCACGACGACCACGACGACGACGACGACGACGACGACGACCACGACCACGACCACGTCCACGACCACCACGGACACGACGACCACGACGACCACGACGACGACGACGACGACGACGACGATGACGATGACGACGACGACGACGGGGTCGACTCCGCGCGCACGCCTGCGCAGGAAGGCCGCCGCGCTCGGGTCACCCAGCGCGCGGGGGTCGAAGCGCAGGCGCCACCGGCGCTGGAACTCCTCCTAGGGGTGGCGGGGGCGAAGACCTCAGCACTGCCATCGCCACCACCACCACCAACACAACCATCATCATCATCATCATCATCATCAGAATCGTCGTCATCATCATCAGCATCATCATCATCATCATCATCATCAGAATCGTCGTCGTCGTCATCATCATCATCATCATCATCATCATCATCACCATCATCATCATCTCATCCTCATCATCCTCATCATCATCATCGTCATCAGCATCAGCAGCATCATCATCATCATCATCATCATCATCATCATCAGCATCATCACAATCACCATCACCATCACCATCACCATCACCATCACCATCATCAGCGCCATTATCACCGTGCTGATCATCATCACCAGCACCATCACTGCCATAACCACCCTATCACTACAACCACTGCCCTCATCATCGTCGTCGTCATCACCATCACCACACAACCATCGTCACCATCATCATCAGACTCATCATCAGCATCAACAACATCAAAATCATCAACATCGTAATTGTCATCAACACCACCGCCACCACCACCACAATCACCATCCTCATCATCATCATCAGCATCATCATAAGCATCATCAGCAGCATAATCATCATCAGCAGCATCATCATCCTCATCATCAGCATCATCATCATGTTCAGCATCATCTTCATCATCCTCATCATCATCATCATCATCATCGGCATCGTCGTCGTCGTGATCACCATCACCATCAGCATGACCATCACCGTCACCATCAGCATCAGCATCATCATCGTCATCCTCATCAGCATCAGCATAAGAATCATCATCAGCAGCATCATCAGCTTCACCATCACCAGCAGAATAGACATCATCATCATCATCATCAGCTGCAGCAGCAGCAACCGAATCAGCACCAGCATTATCTTCATCCTCATCCGCAGTCTCATTCCCATCCTCATCATCCCCCACCTCACCCTCCTCCATCTCATCATCATCAGCATCATCATCAGCAGCATCAGCAGTATCAGCATCACCATCATCACCACCCAACAACATCGTCAGCATCGTCATCATGATCATCAACATCGGCATCAGAAGCATCACCATCATCATCACCAGCATCATGACCATCATCATCGCCATTATCCGCATCATCAGCATCAACAGCATACCCCTACCCCCCCTCCGCCCACCCTCCTCATCATCCTCCTCGTCAGCATCATCCTCCTCATCAGCATCCTCAACAGTATTAGCATCATCATCAGCATCAGCATCACCATCATCATCATCATCAGTATCATCAGCATCAAAACCATCACAATCATCATAATCATCAGCATCATCACTCAACATTAGCACACGCATCATCATCAGCTTCAGAATCATCACCATCAGCAGCATAAGCATCAGCTCATCATCAACAACAATAACAACTACATTCCTTCCCCCCACCCCCACGCATCCTCATCCTCCTCCTCATCACCATCAACATCGTCAGCAGCAGCACCATCATAAGCGTCAGCATCAGCATCATTGTCATCGTCAACCTCGTCGTCGTCATCATCAGCATCATCACCACCACCACCACGACCATCACCATCAGCATCATCATCGTCATCACGATCATCATCCTCCTCATGCTCCCCCTCTTCCTTCTCCTCCTCCTCATCCTCCTCATCATCACCATCAGCATCATCATCATCATCATCATCATCATCATAAGGAGCATCAGCACCAACATCATCACAAGCATCATCATCATCATCAGCATCATCATCATCAGCATCATCAGCATCGCCCTTAAACCCATACTTCTTCTGCTCACCTTAATCCTCGTCCTCCCCTCACCCTCCGCGGTCCCCTTCCACCTCCACATGGTGGTGCCCCCTTATCCTCAAACTATCCCTCCTCCCCCCTTCCCTTCCGCCTCATCCTCCTCCTTATCCTCCTCATTATCCCCATCATCATCCTCCAAATCACCCCTCATCATCATCAGCATCACCATAACCTAACATCAGCAGCAGCATAAGCATCAGCAGCAGCATCATCATCTTCATCAGCGGTCGAGTCATCAGCATCAGGCATTATCATCATCATCGACATCAGCATCATCATCGGCATCATCAGCATCATCATCCGCATCATCATTATATTCCTCATCATCACCATCATCGTCGGCATCATCAGCATCATCATCAGCAGCATCCCCCGACATAATGCTGCTCCTAGTCCTCATCCTGATCATCAGCATCAACATTATCAGTGACATCATCAACATCGCCATCACCATCAGCATCATCATCGAAATCATCATCATCATCATCATCATCACCATCACCATCATCATCATCATCATCATCATCATCATCATCATCATCATCATCATCATCATTATCATCATCATCGTCATCGTCATCATCAGCATCATCATCATCATCATCATCATCAGTATCATCAGCATCATCACCAGCGTCATCATCATCGTCAACATCGTCATCGTCATCACCATCAGCATTACCATCCGC